TACATTATATACACTCGTTGGCAGTACCCGAGAGGGCCGGGCATTAGACGCACATTTGGAAAATGAGATATCATTTCAAATATAAACTATAATACAATACAAATGTATATTATATTCTTATGTTTTTTGTATTTTTACTTTTATAGACATATACACGAAATGTATGTATTATATGTTAAGTATATCTCTATGTCTAACTGAATAAACAGAATTGTTTTGTGAGTTTTTTAGAGTTATTTTTTATTAATGTTATACACATATAGGGGAGAGAGAGAGAGAGAGACTTTGATGTTATAAACAATTCTCTAATGCAATCAGTATTTGTCTATAGAGTGTAACAGAATTTGTCATGTTTTTTGTTTAATACATGACAAATACAAACACCATATATATATATATACAATATATTCTGTACAGAATATTCTTCAACAACATTAAGTGAAGCCAAACTTTTTTCAAACAGTGTACATAAAACTCGACAATACTCTCAAATATACTTGTAGTTCACCAAAACACGAGTTGTTTGTATCGGAAATCCTGTACAAGTGATTGAAATATAACTGTATTGTAAAGTATTTTTTGTTGGAAATTGTAAAAAACTAATATTGAATGCGAGTTATGTATGAAACTTTAAACAGTGTAGGTGCCAGACGCGTGTGTTAGCACCGGTATGCTGCGAGAGACTCCCACTCGTATTTTATCAAAAATATGTATCAATAACAAGATTAAGATTTAAAAGTAAACATAATATTTTATGGATACCGGATACAAAATATATTAAATTATGTGTTAAGCAAAAATTTAAAATATTGCAAAATAGTTTTTATATTGCTTAAAGAAATAAATTTTAATATAAAAAGCATTTGTGAAACAGATTAGGTACGTAAATAATATGAATTTGATCTAAATTTTAGTTAATAACCTATAAATATTCATCCTAAACATAAAAATATATTCGTAAATAACATTATTAAATATAATTTATAATATAAACTTTAAATTTAATATATTTTTAATGCTACCTAATAATTGATCATAGTATGATTTAAATATTGAATAAGTATATTACATAATATTTTGAAATAGTTAAATGTTACCCATATATGTAATACATTGTATACTTTTAAAGAATATTATTTATTCCATTAAAAATATACTTAAAATAAATTTTTAAATTGCCTAATCCAGTTCCCCTACTTACCCTTGTTATGCAATTTTTGCCCATAAATTATATAACATAATCTTAACATGTATGCCTATAAATAAAATATAAAGGTTCTCATACAATGTTTCACGTGAATATCATGTTAATCTTATTTTTATATCAAATGTCAATTTTAGATAATAGTAATTAATTTAATTTTACTTTATTTAAAATTATATTTTTCGTAAACACTTTGTCTAATCCATGCATTTATTATACTTAAACTAGATTTAAAATCAATTATTGGATATTTATAAGTAGGATTTGTATTTTTATATAAGCATTTATGCATTATTAAATATAATTTATAATATAAACTTTAAATTTAATACATTTTAATGCTGCCTAATAATTGATCATAGTATTATTTAAATATTGAATAAGTATATTGCATAATATTTTGAAATAGTTAAATGTTACCCAGATAAGTAATACATTGTATACTTTTAAAGAATATTATTTATTCCATTAAAAATATACTTAAAATAAATTTTTAAATTGCCTAATCCAGTTCCCCTACTTACCCTTGTTATGCAATTGTTGCCCATAAATTATATAATATAATCTTAACATGTATGCCTATAAATAAAATATAAAGGTTCTCATACAATGTTTCACGTGAATATCATGTTAATCTTATTTTTATA